TGCCTTTATCGAAACAACAGAAAAATAGAACAGCAGGCTTATGTCATTGTTTCGATAGAGGCACGTTGCCGAAATATCAACCCAACTATATCTCCATTCTCCTGGCTTTCTCCGAGGAATAAGGCAAATACTACCGTTTTATATACGAGTATATTACATTGTTGATTTCTAAATCATATCGGTTGACTGCTGAAATATTTTGATTGCACCCTCGACAACGCTTGTGTGCGAATACGTTACAGAAATTGGACGTGCCTTGCCAATAATTGTTTAGTATGCGTTGAAATCATTGTTCTTGAATTGCCAGTTCTTTTGTATCTGTTGAACTGCTGAGAACTTGCCCACCTGCAAAATGAGGGATGCCTTTTCATTTATCCCATTTGTGAGTTAAGTTCAAAAGGTTTGCGAGGGTTACATCTGGAACAGGCTGCCGGCTACAAACCGAGCGGGGCCAGTTGTTCGTACCCTGAGTGCACCTGCCAGGTGGTGCCGGTCCAGTTGGACGGGGTTTTGGCCCCGGTCCTTGGGCAGAGGGGTCTGGTGCCAGATCGGATTGTTTTCACCTCACGCACGGCTGTGACACCAACCCATGCTTTGTGGTTCAAGGTGACATCTTATTGCCACGACGGCCGTCGTGGAAAAAATGTACAATGTAAAACGTATATTCTACGTCCTTCGTGATGGCGGGGAGAGATCATGAGGCCTCACGAGAGAGCAGGTTCTTGCGGTCTTCGATATCTCTCGTCGAAGCTGAGCGGCGTGACGTATGGATCGCCTGATCGGAGTCAGCTCACGAGGACGCATCTTTAGCTAGCGCTGCTGACCTCTGCTCGCCGGGTTGGTCGTGGCAGCTGTGCAAGCGATGCGTGCCTGTTCGGTCGCCAGAGCAGAGGCGCGCGGCCGGCGCGCGCCCGTCCGTGCTGCGTGTGAGACGCGCGTCTTGTTTCAGTTCTAGCCGCCGGCCGGCGCCGGGCTGACGGACGGCTGGTCCGGAGGGGCGGCTTCCGCCGCTGCCGGGAGCGCGTCTCGGAGATGCGCCGCGGCCGCCGCGGGCCGGCCCTCGGCGAGCGCCTGGCGGTCGGCGCAGCGAGCGAGCTGGCGCGGCGCCCGAGAGGACGGAGTCGCCGGGTTTGGGTCGCTCCACACCGGACCCCGCTCCATGTTGGAACTTGTTAACTGCTTTGGCGGGGCTTTCGCCGAGCCCCAGTTGGCTTCGCGATGTGAGGAGGATGATCGGTTTGTATTCTACTGTGAGATTTAGCGCGGGCAAGCCAAGAAGCGGCCACTCGAATGGTTAAGTGTCGTGATTCCAGGGATTCTTTTATACGATGCTTATCGCATTGCCGGCACCGATCAAAGCGAGAGGCCACGTAGCTTGAATGCAGTTGTTTTGGCTGGTATATGCGTTCATTCTTAAGTTGCTGTTCCCCGTCGAATCGTTCGCTTTCCCTGATTCATGTTAGCCAATATAGTAAAATGTTTGTTCACATCCACTGGTACATTGCAGTGTGTGACATCTCATCTTGTATTTTTCTGCCAAATACACATTGGTTAGACATGACGTGACTGTACTATAGAAAGTCGTGGACTTGATCTTAAACTTCATGACTATGTTAAGATCGTCTATGTTTTGCGACGAACCGGACTTAGATAAGACAGTAGTAATAGCCTTATTCCCCGGAGAAAAACCAGGAGAATAAAGATATATAACTATATCTCCACTCCCTTGTTTTTTTTTCTTCGAGGAATAAGGCTATACTGCCGCCTTACCTTTGTGAATAGTGTTTTCTCGCAAATGCACTTCACAACTTACAAGCCAGACTTGTACATATTTTGATATGGTCGATATGATATGATATGGATATGATATGGCATATTACAATATGGTCCATCATTTCTCCGGGGGCACTTAGCCGCCTGTGCTATTTTGATGATTTTATATATATATATATATATATATATATATATATATATATATATATATAATATATATATATATGGGGGGCAATGCCGGAATTCCGGCTTCTAAGCCGAATGCGACGCCATGACAATGACATGGAGCCGAAGTCTTTAGGCAAAGCCAGTGGATTTGAATTTTGGAACTGTGAAGCCAAAGCCGAAGCTAGTAGTTTTGAATTTTGGAACTGCGGAGTCAAAGCCGGAGCCAGCGACTTCAAACTTGTACACGCGAAGCTGGAGCCGAAGTCAACGGTCAGAACTTCGAAAGCGCGATATCAAAGATGAGCCTGAGAGTGTAAAACCACGGTGCCGAAGCCAAAGCCGAAATCAGTGTGCCACACAGCTAAATCAAAAACCGTTCGGATGTCTGCTAAAACCGCATGTGATCAGCGAACATTATCAGGGCTTTGGGGGTGACTGAGACGTATTGATTGAGACGAAGTGACGAGATACGATTGAGACGAGGTGATAGTGTTACGGATACGGACTGTCGTCCCCGTCTTATATGTTGTATGTACACAAGGTTTTGAACAGTTTGCTTTCCGCCCGTCGTCCTCTTTTATTTGGCCTTTGACCGAATAGAATGACCGGCCGTGCTTTGGCTTTCAGCCATGTATGTGTCCCAGGCTCGACAGGCGTGCGGTACATTGGGATAACCGGACGAACGACACTGTTTTGTGAGGTGAAATGAAGCCGAATCCAGGGCCATGGTCCAGAAATTGTTCGAAGATGAAGACGACGCCGAAGCTGACTGTGACAAATGCTCCAAGGGTGAAGCCTAAGCTGAATTCAGCTTTAAAAGGGTCTAAACCCGAAGTAATCTGTGAAAAGTGGGTCAAAGGCGAGTCCGGAACCTAAGTCAGTGGAGGAAAATGTGTTGCTTGTTTTTTATCACCTATGCCTGCTTTGATGGTAATCGACCAAAACGGGCATTGAGTGGAAGATAATCAGCTTAGATAAAGTAAGTTTTGCAGCAAACTTCAAAGCCGAATAACTCACCAGCATGAATGTTTCTGGATGGCACGAAGACATTTTCAGCCTCAGTATACAATTCTATGACCAAGGATATACAGAACATGTGGATCTGTATCAGCTTAACTAGTACGTTACTTCGTTGATCAGTGTATTGAAAGTCAGCATGAGCTGTCACTGGGTTATTCCCTATCACTGAAGAAACACTGGATTATGCGCATGGTCAAGCGGCCGCTGGCAGGAATTTGAGCAAAATCAGCCACCCAGTCATGTCACGTAGGCGTGATGCCGTCGTTCTGTCCGCACGCCATTTTGAATGTAAAAATCAGGACGGGTTTCCAACTGCGAAATGATTTTCAGCAACGTTGGTTGAAAGGTGCCACTAGAGATTGAAAATATCAACTGACTTCATGTACACAGCACGTGGGCCTACATTTGTCACGAACGGACGTGAGACAGCTGAAGTCTCTCTAAGTCGGATATTCCCTATCGGATTCGAGTACTGATTTTGGGTCCTGCTGTTCGCAAGCAGCAACGAACTCGGTTCGAAAATCCGTAGCGTTACTGTAGCAAATCCTTATTAAGAATCATTTACTTGTCCTGCCGGTAAGTTAGATAAAACAACGTTCAGCTGACGCCTGGTGGTCAGAAAAAAGAAAGAGTGGTTCTATTATTGTCGGATCGAGGCGAGAGCCGTTTGGATCATCTCCGGCCTCCAATACCCAGGCGACTGTCGGCTCTGGGATTGCGACATCTGCCCTTGCGAGGTATTCGCACTCACGTACAAAATTGCACCCGCATTGTTTCAATGGCAGACAAGTTAGTCCTCAACTGCATGGGCCATGCTCGGACTGTTCACCCCACGGCTCCTCTGGCAAATCATTTCCGTTAAAGAAAGCGTTCCACATTTGTACTTGGTTCTGAACTGATAAAGCCACCTTGTAGAACCTTGTTGCAGTTCACAGCTATGCATTTTAAAGACCTAAAGCCCTCTGGTTCTTGCGCTTAAAAGCCGCAGAGATGTGGGAAAGTAATTTTGGAAAGCATTCAAAGGTCACCCTGACATTCATGGCGTCATAATAACGTCATTCGATTCGTGCCATTTAATACGCCGCGTGGTGACCAATGCCGAGAAAAATATAATGTTCGAATCATAACTGGCGTTCGTCAGCAAGATTTCCCGATAAAACGGCCGCCAATTTCGGTGTCGTGCAAGGTACGATGACGTAATCAAACAATGACGTGTCCGGGAGCATACTTACTCAACAGTGAAATTGTGTTGTCTAGAATAGTCTTCTACTGAAAGGTATACCGACATTTATCAGTGAGCTTGTTCCATCATATCTGATGCTTGCTTTAATACCTTCAAATGTGAAATATTCCCTTTAACCAAGTCATATCGCCGAGAAGTGGGGCGAACGGAGTGTCGTGTGCGAATGTCCTTTTCAACTACGTTGCGTACCAGCGGCACGCGTTAGAGCCTCAGCAGCTGAGTGCGTCGGAAAGCCTCAATGGCGAAGCCCAACCGCTGTAACCTGCAGGGCGTAACTATGGCTTGACTTGCCCATAGCTGGTCACAGCGACAATCAAAAGCCCAGCCGCCTTTACCAGGACTTGCCTTCATCGGCGTTCCAGCCAGCCAACGCTAGACGCGTCCTTCCCCGGTCCAGAGCACACTGAGACCAGTCAGTTTCTGACGCCGATCCACTCAGTCCAGGCCTGCCAGCCAGTCGGCCGCACCACCGACAAGGTGTGCTGGGATGACTCCACTGAGGTTCCGGCCGTCTGCAAGCGTTCTGACCGCCGTCTGCGCCTTCTTGCTTTTTCCGTGCATTCCATGCATTCCATGCAGGTATGGAACGTAGCTGATGAACGGATGTCCTATTCGAACAGGCTTTCAGGCCCAGGAACGCACAAGAGGCTCACAATGGCGACTTCGCCCGAAATCGTAGATCGAGTCATTTTAAGCACGCCATGGCCTAAGTAACCATGGCAACGAACATGTATCTGTTCCACGCTGGGTCGCGTTTCATGCAACTCTTTCCCTCACACGACACAGCCAATGTTTCCTTGTTCATGTATTGACTATCAGCAAGTAACAAAACGCATACAGCTATAACAACGGTGCTGGGAAAGGTTAAGCCGCCTCTGGACCTGAATCTCTCTCCCTGCCCATTGTTGCCTTACGGATAGGGTTTAACTAGGTAAATAAATGAGAGGTTCAGCATCACCGCGCTGCGAACTCGCCCCACTAAACCCGGAACCCAATTTGATCAACCCTGCGGTTATGCATCGGGCGAGCACCGGACGGTGATGCTGAACCAGAAGGGCCGCCAGCACCAAACTGGCGGCGTCGTCGATAGGGGGCCCAAAAACCTTTTCTCTCGCTGCGCGCCGATCACGCACCGTGGTCAAATGAAGCGGCGACACCAGCTGCACTCCAATCCTCCAGAGTCGCATCCGTGCGCGTGGAACAGGCATGCGCTGCGTGCGCGGACGTGGTCGCGAGGAGACCGTGCCCGCCGGCACCCGGCGGAGGGGCGGCGACACTGCCCAGCGGTCGGCGGCCACCGTGCCGCCGCGCCACACCGCTCGAGAGGCCCGGGCCCGGCCACGGACGCGGACGCCCGCGGTCATCGCACCTGCTCCGAAAACCGAGACGGACAGAACCGTGGCGACGCGACTGAAAGCGGGCGAGGCCGTTGCAAAGCAAACAAGCAAACCTGAACGCACACCGTACAGGAGGTAACAGAGGTGAGAAGGGCCGCCCTCACGGCGCCGAATCGCGAACCGGGGCCGCTTGTGGCCCCTCGGGGCGGGGCGTCAGGGGCCATCAGCGCCTGCAGACACGCGCGTCGGACGCCGGATCGGCGCAGAAGGAGGTCGGGAGAGAGGGACGGGACGGGGGTCGAGGCTGCGGCGAGCGACGGTTAACAGTTCCCAGCTAGTCGGGCGGCGGCGGCAGGCGCCGCCCAGTCTCGATGTTGCGCGACGAGACTAGCATCAGGTACATCAGCGATCACCGGTCTAAAATATTGCCGCGTTGTGGCCAGTCAATACTGACGGACTGACTGACGGCCGGCGACGGCGACGGCGCCGGCGCGCGGCCGGCGCCGGTCGTCACCTCCGACGGGCAGCTACACTCCCGGGGAAACAGCAGCGGCCAGAATACCGCTCGCGCCGGTCAGGGCTGCAGCCGCACTCCGAAAGCACCAGAGCACCAAAATAGAGGTGTGCGTGTGTTTAAAGTCCAGACGCACGGATCCACCATCACCAGCGAGCAGCGCGCCCGGCGCGGCCGTGCAGCCTCCGACAACAGCCCGGGTCTCGCGCGGCCGGCGCGTCCCAGCCGAGCCGTCATCGGTCAATCTCGCGGGGCGCGCGCGCTCACAAGGAGCGCGGTGAGAAGTCGGACGCCTGGGCGTGCGCCCTGTTGAACGGCACTGTCGGGTACACGGCGGAGGCGGCGCTCTCGGCCGCCGCGGCGCGCTCGGCCACGCCCGCCCGGCTCAGCGCGTACTTCATCGACTCGTACACGGTCCAGCAGATGGCCGTCGACGGGATCTGGTATACTACGCGCGCCTGCAGGCCGCGGAAGAAGCCGCCCACGCCGCCGAGCCGGTACACGACGCGCGCGGCGGCCGGCAGCCCCGAGATGGGCCGGCCGGCGCCGGCGTCGGCCACCACCCGCGCCTCCTGCGTGTTCAGCAGCGTCTTGCAGACGTCGAGCGGCGTAGTGACGGCGGCGGCGCCGGCGCCGGCCAGCGCGCCGCTCAGCATGTGCGCCGTCGGCCAGTACTGACGCTGCGGGTTGGTCACGCGCTGCGCCCACTCGTATATGACGAAGTGGATCGACTGGAATGGCACGTTCATGGTGAGCTGGGTGCCGTAGGCGCGGTAGAAGGCGCGCAGCCCGTCCTGCCGGTACACCGAGCGCGCGCAGTCCAGGCACGAGCGGAACGGCGAGTTGTACATCTGCATCCGCTGCTTCACCACTGCAACGGACAGAACGGCGCGGGTGTTAGGCGAATGCTGGTCCCGCGGTCTGGCGGTCCCGGTCTCGTCTCAACGGGCGGCGGACGTCATACGCTCGAGACGCTACACCATGCGGGTTCGCGTCCGGTCGCAGTCGTCCGTCCTTTGCCCAGTGATGAAGGAAATATCAATATTGAACGGCACGCCGTGAACTATGCACTTAGAGATGATGACTTTACCTTGCATCCAGCATTGCATTGCAGGCAGCTTACATGTATTCGAGGTAAACATTGTTAGCTGTATAGCTCCACGGCCACAGCTATCGCTCCTCAAAACTTGTGAATGGCGCTGGAGCACTGGTTGAAGTCAAAGCAGCTTAGATCGACTTAGTTCAGACTCCGATCCCCACCCTGCCAACTTAAACCATGCGGAGGAAAGAAGAGAGCGTGAAAAATGAACAGCAGCCAATGTTTCACAAGTCACTGGAGTATACGATGAGGTCCCAAGTGCCGCCAAGTCTGGGAAACGTCACGTCCTCAAAACAAATGAGCTATGTTTGCTACCTCATCAGATTTTGCGCACGTCAGCATTGCCTCAACCACTTTAGGTGCTGTTGGCTAGGTTGGATAACGTTCGTTGGATGACGTTCATCACCACTTCTAAACGGCCTCTGTTACGCAACATGCCGGCTTTCACATCGGTCTCGCTCCCGCGCTCCTGCAGATAATTCAGCCTGCTGCACGCCTCACCGTTGCAGGTCTGCGCGCGCCGATCTGAGACCCGGACCCTGACCACGACCTATCATCCGGCGGGCTCAGCGTCGGGCTCTTTACAAAAGTTCGGTCCAAACATTCTAATTTGATGGATTTCTGGATCAGCGCACACGTTAAGCAGTGCTCGCTGCGTGAGCCATGGCCCACCATCCGATCGTAATTCCCAGTCGACGGCGGGGTATTGCGGCGAAAGCTTAGCGTACCATAATGCCCGGCACGGTCTGTCCCACCCCTGACGTCGTACCATAATGCCCGGCACGGTCCGTCCTACCCGTGACGCCACCTGACGTTCCGCGCGGTCGCCGCCGTCGACCCCAGAGGCGAACAGTGAGCGCCTGAGGCGACTCGAACCCAGCCCGCCACGGGTGGGTGAATCCGACGGCAGCCACTCTGACCAGCCTATCATCCGGGGCAGACAAAGCTCACGTCCCGGACATCAGCGCTTGGTAAGCTTGGAATCGGCGGTCTCGCAAGGCGGCGATAGCCCGCCGACAAATGGCACGTGTACCAGCTGCAATCCCGACAAACATATTTCTTCCGGCGCAAGGATTCCTATGACGTTACAGCTGGCCGACAAAAATCTGCCGTGTCATCTCAAGGTGAGTCAGCCGGCGTTGCGGGCGCGGCCGTGCCATTGTTAGCACATGGGCGCACCACACCGGCGGTCATTTCCTCACAAGCCACAGCGCATGCACGACCGGAGCAAATTCACCTACGGCAGTGCAGTTTCGCAGCCCAACGGCACGATTAAGTGACGTTATCCTAGGATCTCCCCGACACCGACAGCGTGGGTCAAAAGAACTGCTCCACACTGCGGATAGGGCGTGCGGGTGGAGTGTGCCCGTTCAGAGTCTCGGTGGACGCCGCACAGTATGTGAGTGGTGGACAGAATGAGACACGCACTTTGCACGAGTAGCCAGCACGAAGGCAGGTCAGGGAAAAAGCACATGCCGGCAGCGCACGTAGGAAGTGCGGGGTGGACAGATCTTAAGTGCATGCGGATAGGCCACGTGGACCGCATCGCAGTAAAATTCAGCAGCGTCAGCCACCAGCATTCGAAACGCCGTGGGCGCCAGAAAACGTGCCAGTCACGACGACGCGGGACTTTCCCCCGCTGGTGTACCTGGCAACGATCGGGCGTTCGTGGCATGGTTTAGCTGGCAGCCCAGCATGGGCACGGGGCCTCTCCCTGCTGTTTGTGCTGGCACAGAACATGGTAGCAAAGCGCTACCGCGTGATCAGCAGCGGCAGCGGGACAACGGCCCCTCCAGCGGCTCGGTTCACTTTGAATCCACGTGAGCTGCCTTGTGCGCCGCTTCCGTGGCACAGATCAAGCAAGAGACCAGCGCCGGCGGACGCAACCGCGGCGATCGCTGCACAGTCGGTGCACTCCAATGCAATGTCAGTTGCAGTGCAACTTCCGCTGGCATTGCACAGCGCCGGCCATGTGGCAGCCCGGTCTCACTGGGTCAACAGGAAAATGAGCACTGAAAACAGCCCTGAGACCTTCACCGCGCCGTGCGCGCGGCCCGACAGATGTCGTTATATAACAGGCGAGGGCCGATGGTAGCAGACGTCCTAAAATAGCCCGCATGACGTTTTATTCCTGGAATTATACAAGCTATGATAACAATGCCGAAATGTATACACTACTGATGTTATGCAGGCCGTTTGGTTTGGGTTGAATTTTTCAGCCCGGGCGGTACACCGAAATGGTGACTGTATTTCGTTATCACCCGCAGGATCGTGCACCATAGCTTGAAAACTGCTGATCACCCAATCCGTCCTCCCAGGTGCGAATGGCTGATGACGTTGCTTCCACGTCGCCACAGTTGGCCCACGGCTAACACTACAACATGGCGTCCATCGGCCCTTTGGAGCCCCATGACCGCTTCATGCGATACCACATGTCAGTGACTAGTCAAAGCCTTCCAGCCGGAACACCACTGCTGCTTCATGTCCCGGTTCCAGACATCACGCGCCGTTCCTTCCCCACCCGTCCATCGCTCTTGCTCCATTAGCCGGGGTTCACCTGAGCCTCCCCCTCCCGTTACATCCGCGGCTCCCGGCTCCCCCCCCCCCCCCCCTGCAGGCGCGGCGGCCATTTGTTGCACCGGGACGCGTCACCGCGCTGGCCCTGCACCCGCCGACCAGGGTAACCACCGTGGCCGCTGCCGCACCGCGTGACGTCACGGGCCGCAGCTTGGGACAGGCCGTGACGTGGCCCCGCCAGCGACCGAGGAGGATCGTGCCGAGCCCAGCGGCCGTGGGCTCGGCCCGACCTCACTGCGCCCAGTTGAGCAGATCTCTCCTCCCGGCCTTGACAGGGCTTATTTAAGTCCGGTTACGGTACGATGAAATGCTACCGGGTTGATCGTGTAGCCGTACAGGCTCGCTGAAAAGTGCTCCTCTGCATGGAAAGGACGTCATCCTTTTCACAACGCGTGTTCTGTAATATCTGCAAGAAACTAAGTTGTCAAAATGCTTGTGATACGTTCTACGAAATTTTGAAACTCTCTTTAGAGAAAATGCATACAAACATGAGGATCCTATCCCGCGAATTCAACGAAACGTTATACCATGGCTTTGATTTCTCCCCTAAGGTGCTTTCCACCGTAGCTCTTTTCGAAACACTTTGGTTTTGGGCAACCAAGTATCACATGGTCTATAATGGCGCACTGGTTCAAACTTCAACCAATGTGATTATTGGTAGCTGGCCCCTGCAGCTACCGCTGTGCCTATCACAAACTGCATTTGTACCGACGGCATTCATACAACTAGAGGTGCCACTTTTAAGCTAGAAGGCCCGCAATGTGGGTGTTAAAGCGCCTCAAAGGTGGTTGCTATAACCCGCAACAGCTAACAACGACTCTCAGCAGATTCTGTCGTCGTCATAAAGACTGCGGTTGTCATGACGACGGGGGTCGCGACACCTGTAGCTGCCGCGGACTCGGGACCTAGGTTCTGGGCCTACTATGACATGGAGAAGTAAAGCGCCGTTACAAAGATTTGAGAGCGTAATTTGGACCCGAAATTAATGAAATCTGACATCCTAATATACATATATACATATATACACACATATCAGATATTTCCAAGAAGAATTATCTTGCAGAATTATACTGACCCGTGCAGAGATGGGTCTACACGTACTGATTCATCCTGTTGCAAACAGCTGGTTGAGGTTTCATAGAAGACGCTCGATAAGCCGGGTGTGTTCAAGACCGAGCAGCCCTCAGGGGATAGCGCGAACTCAGCGTATCCCGTCGGAGAGCCATTCGTTTGACTCGACCAGAGGGCTGCCTATGGGGCTGATTCGCAAAGCACTTGTCGATATGCATGCAGTCGTGGTGTGGTGCGTCCGGCTTTCGTTTAACTGAGCCGCGCGCTTAGTCGAGGGACTGACATTCGCACTCTACGTTTGAGCGAATGAGTGCCCTATACAAGCGAAGCAGGCTTCCGATCAGCACGCAAGATATCCTGCTGATAACCTTCATGATGTTCACTGCGTTTGAACAACGCTTTCTGGTCATTTTAAATGGGCGGAGTAAGACAGTTCTCTGTCAAAAACAACACCTAAAATTTCGCAACGTCCGAGAATGGCAAAGCTCTGCAATACAGTTTCACACTAGGGTCGACGCACTCCTGCTTTCTCTTGCAAAAGTGCATGCACGTGGTTTTAGTCAGTGACAAATAAAACCGTTTGCAAAACCCCATTGCGTACGTTTGTCAAGACATATTTGTATTCGCCGGGCTGTCGAGGTCGACGATGACGTGGACACCCATGTCATGTGTCATGTCATTGGGGCTTTACGACGCACTCAGCTGCTGAGGCTATATGGCGTCGTCTGCCTCTCACCCTGGCAGGAAGGGCGAAAACCGCAAGGAATGACGTGGACCCCCAGGGGACAAAGTCATCCACAGATACGAAGCGACCGACGTCGGCAGGCAATAAGTCACCCGTATCATTTGCCATAATTACAAACAGCGGCAGGCTTAGGACTCCCCCCTGAGGGACTCCGCTCGCCGCTCGGAGCCGGTCTCGAAGGGTGTTGCCAACCCTCACATAAAGTGGCGGTTGCGTAAAAAGCTCCACAAAAACCCACCCACGTGATATCGCAACCACAAGCGTGCAGCTTTATCAGCATATCATGATGCCAGGTAATGTCGACTGCCTTGTCGACATCAAAAAGATAGCAATGACATGTCGGCGCTTAAAGGACTCCCTGATGGCTGTATCAAGACACAACAGGTGGTCAATGGTCCTCCAGATCTTCCAAAAACCACGCTGCGTGTTAGACAGTACGTCGTTCGCTTCTAGAAACCACAATAGTCGCGCGCTAATAATTTTTTTTTTTTCAGTTCTCGCTATCTTCGTATGCATACCTCGAGCCGCGCAATGTCCCGTACCGAATTTGTGGCTAGCGACGAATTCTCAGCTCTGAACGCTGCATGTCGTTTTCCAGTGGAAAGGATAACACATGATGCGTTAAATCATGTACCTCGCTGGAGCTCACGACCTTCCCCATGGTCTTGGAGGTCAAGGTTACATCAGGTTTCAAGTTTACGCGGAATTTGCTCTCCAAAGCATTGGATAATGAATCAGGGTGCTACGGGTCGGACAAAGGTCAACCTTCCCATATGCCTCCGCTGCTGCTAAACCTTTCGTGACCCGCCAAATTATTGCCGAAACAAACAACGCAAGCGCAAGATCATCCACGAACAAATTCAAGAAAACGAGGTCAGAAACGAGCCCAGCTGACCATCACATTACCCCTAGGCAGTGAATGGTGGCATGTTTTGTTATCTTACAGTTGAATTTTGCGCCCCATGCGAAGCTGAAGCTGCATCGAGATGACAACGAAATGATTTGACCTGGTTTGACACCGCCTGCAATGCTTACTGTAACTGATGCTGCAGTTCCCCAAGTGAGGTTGTAGAGTATGCAGGGGGTTGTTGGGGGTTCAAGTCCTACCGCGTCCATCCTATCTGCAAATTTTTGCTCGTGCAATCTGGTGTGGGGCGGACGATCACGGTAAGGAACAAAACGTAGGAAAACGAGCGAAAATCCCCGCGCCGCGGAGAGTACCGAGGCCGGTAAAAGTAGCGCGGGCAATTCCGGACCGCACAGCAATGGTATCCTGCTCTGCTCGAGACGGAAGTGACGACATACCGCCCAACGTCGGTGACTTGCGATGCATAACGATCAGCACACGGTCAAACAGCGCGCCGCACACCAAACTGAAG